CACATAGAGGTCTCCAACTCTACGGCCAGTCCCAATCTGCTGCTTGGACATCCGATCCTTTACAGAACAGATAGAAAAAGAAAAGATAACATCAAAACCAGATGCATTAAGTTGACTAATAGATAATAAACTGACAGATAACTGAGGAACATATAAGACAAATGGAATAGAGACTACAAACATAGCATACGGTAGGACAGACCTAACAGATATAACTGACATACTAGACCCATTAGTAGCATTAATAGTAATAGGAAATGGAGGGGAAGTACAATTCTGAAGTAAAGAGAGACGAGGAGTCATATGATGAGAGGCACCAAAGTCAAAAAGCCAGACAGACGAAGAGATACCTGATGAAGACCCAAGTAAACCTGAATGAAGAAAGGAAACAACGGAGGCAGATGGAGATAGCTGGGAGGTAGACAATATATGCTGAAGCTAACTAATCTGAGCAATCAAGGAAGCCAAGTCAAGATCAGGAGCCAGCAAATGTAGTAGAACTGATGGGAGGCCGAACAGTACCATAATGAGGAACGCAGAACTTGATCAGAAATTGCTGAAAAGACGAGGTAGACACAGGCAAAGCAAACAAACATCCTTTCTTAGGACAATGATACTTCCAATGACCTCTCTGATGGCAGAAGGCACACTCATCTAAAGCTAGTGGTCATTTCTTAAGCTTTGTAGAAGGTTGACGTTGATGGGTATCCGACATCAGAATGAACCAAAACAAAAAAAAAATAACTAATAGAGCAAAGTGTAATAAACAAAGACTGGATGGGCCAAACTATAATAAAGCCAAACTGTAATAAAACAAAATTGTACCAGATGTGATCAAACCAACCACGAAGCAATATAGAACTCCAGATGAGAGAGACCCAAGTCGAATCAAAAACTGAAACTAAGAACCTAAAGCCGAAGTTAAGGAAGAGAGGCCTCTGGAGAGAGAGAGAGAGACCTTCGCAAGATAGCTGCGAATCAGACAGAGATCGAGAGAGAGAGAGAAAAAAAAAGTAACGACTCCGATAGTGACAAACCAGACGAACCAGAGAGAGGTAATGGTGATGAACCGGACAAACTAGAGAAGTCACGACTTACGACTGATTACGAACCAAACGAACTAGTGTGGGGTCAAGATCGATGACCCTTTGACCAACGAACCACGACTGCGACAAGCAAAGCAGCTAGGGTTTCGAACCTTACTCTGATACCATGTAAGATTCCTGAAAGCTTTTGTTTATATTCAATTATGTATGTTTACAAAGAGTGCATTAGTTATTTAGCCATAATCTATGACAAAAAAAGGAAATACAAAAAAAAAGGAAAATACAAATGATTAATCACTTTACTCACTGAGATGTATTTATCGTTTGGATATTTTCATTATCTTTTATTTTTGATGTGATTCTTTCTTGGTTAGTGGTTGTTGAATTTTTTTTAGGGAAAATTAGTGAAACATCTATCTCCAATTTTTTGTAGTAGGAAAAGTTCAAGATATTTTTTTATTAGCTAAGGTCTCTTAATATTTTCACAGAGAAAATTTGACTAAAAAAAATTTCGCCTCGACTCAAAGAAATTTCAATTTTTATAGAGAAAATTTTTGTGAAAATTGAAATTTTTTTGAGACGAATTTTTTTGGTAAAAATGTTGAGAGACCTTAACTATTATAAAAATATTGTATATCTTTTATCTTATAAAATCTTAATATCAAAAATCTTAAAAAAAATTTCTCCTTTTCTTTCGGTTTCTCTGAATAAATTTTTTAACCAAATGTGACAAAGAAAATCAGGTTATCCTTCATATATGCCGAATTGTGTTTCTTATATATGACAGATACACAACGTTATGTTTTTAATATTTATACTCACATTTTGCATAAAATATTACACATTACACCATTTTCAACACATATTTAATAATAATTTTATAGTTTTCAAAACATATTTAATAACAAATTTACAGTACAATTGAAAAGAAATAAAGTGCTTTTTTTAATATAATTTTTTATTTATTTATAAGATTCGACTGGATGGGTTGACAAATTTTTATGGGAAAAAAAACATTTTATAGTGGAGAGTTGTTAGTTGTTACATGGGGGGTAGGTGTGGGTTCTTCTAAAATTCCATTACTAAGCTGAGGCTCTGGCTTTGTTCAGGTTCTGAGTATGAGCAGATTGGGTGGTGCTGCTGCTGTTGCTCCCCTTGTTGCTGATATGTCCTCTGAGGTATTAATATCATCTCTCTTTTTCTATACACATGCAATGACACATTTAAAATAAGGGAAATGCTAGAGGTCCCAAATTTTCTACCAAATAAATGATCAAATGTCTCACATGGGTGTGGGGCATTACCTAAACACTGCTTGGACTGTTTCGCCATATTTTTGTTTACCCAAAATTTTTTCCTTTACCATTAAACTAATCGAAATCTTCTCACGATTCCAATGACACCAATTTCATCACCAAAAAAGTGTCGCACGCGCCCTGACATAACGTTTTTGTGGTCGGCATGTCCATTGCTTCTGCTTTTAGTCGTACACGCGTTCTCACGCGTACATAGCCAACTTGTTGCTTAGCCATGTAACCGTTGATGTCATCCCATTACGTTAGCCATACACGCTTGGCTTTGCCTTCGTGTGCTGATGTCACACGCATGCACGCGTTATCAGGCGTCCATGCCACGCTGACATGTTGACGTCAGCCCTAAACAGTGCAGCCTCTGATTTTGCTCATTCTGTCCAATTTTAGCCTATTTTTTGGGCGGTTCAACTTGGTCCCCACCTAATTTGGACCTTCTAAATTCATTGGTGCACTTATTTTTTTGCTGATTTTGATCCTATAGCACTGGTTTTCTCTATTTACTTCACCAAACCACCGTTATGGATCGTCATGATGCTTCCCATCCAATCTTTGTTATCCTTGATGGCTCCAACTACGTGTTATGGTCACAGGCCATGTCCGATTTTCTGAAAGGGAAGAAACTCTGGCACATTATCACTAGGGATGTGGTTCAACCAATGCAAGAGGTTCATGAAACCGCTACTACATATGCAGATCGTTTAGAGGACTAGGATAGTAAGAACTACTAGATCATCACTTGGCTTCAGAATACTTCTGTTACATCTATCAGTTTATAATTTGGTCATTTTCAACTTGACTCCGTGACTACTCCTGCCAAAGACATTTGGGATTTTTTGACAGAATGTTATCAGATTACTGGTATTACTCATTACTATCAACTTCAAAGTCAACTTCATCGCATGCGTCAGGTGCCTAGTCAGTTTGTTAATGATTTCCTCTCTCAGATATGTTCTATTTGGGACCAGCTCGCTCTCTCGTATTAAAGATGCTGCTTTATTCACTCAGTATCATAATCACCAATGCTTGGTTCAGTTTCTGATGGCTCTCACTACCCAGTTTGAGCTCATGCGTGCATCTCTGCTTCGTCGCACTCCATTGCCCACTCTTGAACATGCTATTTCTGAGCTATTATCTGAGGAGACTCGTCTTGGCCCTTTCAAGACACATCATGTGGATATAGTTCTTGCCATACGTCAATCACTGAGTTCCTCTACACCAACCACCCAATGGCCCACTACTTGCAATTATTGTCAGAATTGGGGCTTCCTTCTACTCATCTTCTGCTTTATTGCCCAGTCAGATCCTGTTGGTACTACAACAAGATTAGTCCTGGTCATCTGCAGCAAGATTACTTTCGCAATCCAAACCGCTCATCTACTACTCACTCTTATCGTGGTGCTTCCTTACAAGGTTGTTCACAACGTCCAGGGAATCAGTCTAGATCTCTACCTGCTCATCGCACTACTACTGTTGCCTCTGAGGAGTTTTCTAAGCCTTTAGATCCAACCACTCCTGTCTTTTCCCAAATTGATGTTGAAGTTATGTTCAAACAGTTTATCACCACCTTTAGTACACCTCATTCTACTACTCTGTCTGTGACTTCAGGTACATCTCCCTATTATTTTGACTGAGTATGTTGCAATCATATGACTTCTAGTTCTACTATATTTTCTTCTATCACTTCCTCTCCTCATATTCTCTCCATTCATACTGCTGATGGTTCTCTTATGTCTATAAGCCATATTGGTTCTGTTTCCACCTCTCATCTATCCTTATCAAATGTTTATCTTATTCATACTCTCACTTTAAATCTTATCTCTATTAGTCAATTATGTGAGCGTGGTCTAACTGTCACATTTTCTACCAATAGTTGTTTGGTACAGGACCCTCAGACGGGATAGATTCTTGGGATCGGCCGTAAGCATGGACGTCTCTATGAGCTTATTCATCTTCATGTTCCAGGCTCCACATCGATAGCTGCTCCTACATTTACTTCCAACATGTCTCCTTTTAATATTTGACATTGTCTTTTAAGACATATTTCTGTCAGTCGATTGCAATATTTAGTTTCTACTGGTTAGTTAGGTCATGTCGTTCCCGATACTTTGGATTGTTTATCTTGTCAACTTACAAAACAACCTATTTTATCATTTAATGCAAGTACTTGTGTTTCTTATGCACCATTTGATCTTATACATTTTGATGTTTGGGGACCATCCCCTACTACCACTATGGGGGGATCACGTTACTTTGTTGTTTTTGTTGATGATTTTTCACGTTTTATATGGTTGTTTCTCATGAAAAGTCGCTCTGAATTCAAACAACTTTATTACAATTGTGTAAGCATGATCTAAACCCAATTTTCTAAAACCATTAAAATTTTTCAATCTGATAATGTTATGGAATATAGGGATTTTGATTTTATCTCATTCCTTCAGCATCACGGTATACAAAATCAAGATCTATTCTGATGGCTCTATTGAGCGCTACAATGCTCATCTTATTGCAAAGGGCTTCACCCAGGAATATGGCATTAATTATGAGGATTAATTATGAGGAGACTTTCGCTTTGGTTGCTCGGCTTACCTCTGTTCATAGCTTACTTATTGTTGCCGTTGCTCGTCGCTAGGGTCTCTTTCAGATGGATGTCAAAAATGTCTTCTTTAATGGTGATCTTTTTGAGGAAGTCTACATGCAACCTCTCCCTGGGTCTGCTTATCCGACTCATAAGGTTTGTAAACTACAGCGTGCTCTCTATGGTCTCAAGCAAGCCCCGCGAACTTGGTTTGCTAAATTCAGTTCCACCTTCCATGACTTTAGCTTCACCTCCAGCTCATATGACTCTACTCTATTTGTTTGGACCACTCCTCATAGCACCACTCTTCTTCTTCTGTGGATGATGTGATTATCACCGGTGCTGACGTGGCTAGTATTCTTAGCCTCAAAAAAATTTTCAATCGTCAGTTTGAGATGAAAGACCTTGATACTCTCAATTATTTCTTAGGGTTTGAAATCTCTCACAATTCCACTGGTTATTATTTGTCACAAGCCAAATATGCATCCGATCTTCTGGCACGTGCTGGTCTTACCGATTGCAAGACTACCTCTACTCCCATTGATCCTCAGAATCGTCTCACTCTTCTAGATGGGGATCTTCTCTCTGATGCTATTCGTCATCGCCAGCTGGTCGGTAGTCTTATCTATCTCGCTGTGACTCGTCCTGACATTGCCTATGCTAACTATCTTGTTAGTCAGTACATGTCGGCTCCCCACACCCCACATTACACTGCTCTACTTCGCATACTTTGCTACCTCAAAGGCACTATGTTCCATGGACTCCACTATTCTGCTCACTTTTCTATCGAGCTTCGTGCATTTTCTGATGCTGATTGGGCTGGGAATCCTACTGATCGACGCTCCACCACGGGTTTCTGTTTTTTCTTAGGAGATTCTCTTCTTACTTGGCGCAACAAGAAACAGCCCCTCACTACTCGCTCTAGTACTGAAGCTGAATACTGCGCTCTTACTGACACTACTTAGGAACTTTTGTGGTTTCACTGACTCCTTGCTGATATGGATGTTCCTTCCCTTAGTGCCATCTCTCTCTATCGTGACAATCAGCGTGCCATTCAAATTGCTCACAATGATGTCTTCCATGATCGCACCAAACATATTAAGATTGATTGTCATTTCATTTGACAGCATGTTATACATGGCCCTGTTCATCTTCTCCCTATTTCTTCTACTGATCAACCTGCTGATATTTTCACCAAGGCTCATCCTCCTGATCATTTCAGTAATCTAATTTCCAAACTCAAGTTGGTTGATGCTTACCCACCTTGAGTTTGAGGAGGGTTGTTAATGTATATATTAGCTTTATACTTATCTTCTTGTATTATAGATATAGCTTATCTCTATCTCTCTCTATCTTTATCTCCTTGTATCTCTATCTCTATCTTTTTCTATACTTATCTAGGTTTGTGTTCAGCCTATAAATACAAGTTCTCCTATTGTATTCAATCAATTCAATATATTGTTTGGTTTGATTTTGGGAGAGTTGTTTTTGAAATTTTTTTCTAAAATTTTGTTTGGTTTGTAGTTTTTCTCAATAAAAATTTAAAATCACTTTCTCTCTCTTACACATCAATCAATCACTTTTTCTCTCTCCTCTCTCTTTTTCAATCACTTTTTCTCTTACACACACCTACTCAATTACAACAAAATATCAAATCTTTCCCAACTCTTAAACTCTAAAACTACTTTCAAAATATACAACCAAACAAACTAAAAACATTTCTAAATTCTCTCCTCACTTTTTTTTTTTTTTTTTATAAAAATCACTCTCTTAAAAACAAATCAAATACACCCACAGTTTTCTTTTTCTTTCAACCATTCTAACAAAATTCAAGTGGCAATTGGTGGCCAATTTGTCGGTTAGTTTTTTTTTTTAAAATTATTTTAATGAGACAGAGATGATGGACATTGGAGAGGTGGTCGGTGATGAATTTGGTGATGTGTTGTCTGACATTTATAATTTTCCAGTGTAATAAGATATTTTCTTGTCATGGTAATTCATAGTTGTCAATCTGTCATTTTTTCTTGTCATTTTCATTAATGCAAAAGACTGTGAAGAACACATGAACGTACCATCCTTGGAAACTTGTTTGCCTCAAATATATAATAGGGAGAATTTCATTTCAATGTAATTTAAAAAATATATTTACATATTAATGATAAATTTTACTACATTAAAAAATAATTTTATAAAATTTCCTATGTATTTAAAATTATTTTTTTACCTTTGCCTCTGAATTGTTGTTTCCCTATACAATAAACTAACCCACATATTAGTACGAATATTTGAATTGGTTTATTAGTATCTAATAATATAAGAATGACAATGAATAACTAATGTAGAATAATGTCACGTAAAGTGTTTATGGATAAAGTTCTAAAATGTGAAGCTAAACGGTTAGTCAAAAAAAAAAAAAAAAGAGAAGAAGGATTGGGTCAATGATTTGTTCCGTATAATTTTTTTCCAAACAACCCTAAGTAATAATTAATAATATTTTAATTAAATAAATTTTGACCTGATCCATGGAAAATTCTATTTCCACATATCAAATTATCTCTGTATACATCTTTTCTCAATCTACACATTTAATAATTTAATTTTTATTTCTTTGTCTCAATCCACACACTTCACGTTCTAAATATATCCTTACATTCTCCATACACATCCTCTCCTTCCCGTGATTATCTCCAACAAGATCACTCCAAATGCAAAAACATCCACCTTTGTGGTCACTTTTCCGGTGGCTGTCAGGAAGCAAAAGATGATGGATCAACATTGAAATTAAGATGTAAACTTGGCAATTTTGGAATTACTTGATCCATGAATCAGGTTTTTAATGTATGACTGTAAAATGAAAATCCTAAGAAAGTCTATGAAATATTGTTTCTTCTTTTTTCTTTTTTCTTTTTTTTTATAAATAAAAATATAAACTTAACCATATTCTTTCTAAACCATACATTAAAAGATAAAATATGTTCTATTCAATGCTTAAGAAAAATTTGAATTGGCTTGTTCACAGATTGATAAATATCTAATTAATTCATATGAATGAAGTTGTACTTACCAGCATACTCAAGTGCTAAATATCCAAACGTTCTGGCCAACCTTGTCTGCATCGAATGCTTCCCATCAGGAGCATTCTTAACCAAACCAAAATCAGACACCTTAGCTCTCATATCATCTCCAAGAAGTACGTTAGAAGGTTTCAGATCTCTATGGACGAAACTCTGCTGTGCTAAGCTGTGCAAATATTCAGCCCCTCTGGCAACATCTAACACTATTGTGACTCGTTGTTTCCAAGTCAGTGGAGAAACCCCCATTTCTCTATAACCAAACAGATGTTGTGCCAATGTCCCTTGAGCCATGTACTCGAAAACCAAGAGCCTTTCATTTCCATTGACACAAAAACCATGTAGTCCGACCAAATATGCTTGTGCCTAAGTGGCTGGTTAGATAGTGGTGGGTGAGATGTGTATAGAGAAATTGTGAGATGTGTGAATAAGATGGTAATTTTGTTAAAGGATAAAATTATGAGTTTGAAAAAATTCATTAAGTATGTAGAGTAAGGAAACTTGATGTGTGGAAATAGAATTTTCCCTGATCCATCGATGACCCAGTGGGGTATGCGCCATGTCTTGCTCTGGCAATTTGGCCCTTGGAGGAATTCTGGCACTGCCCTGATACATGATACAGATGATATAAGTGTTTGGAAGAAACTTTTTTAGTTTTTTTTTTGGCTAAAATAGTACTAAAAGACAAAATAAGTTAAAATAGTCAATAAGATAAAATATCATATTAAATTCATAATCATTTCGCTTTTTTCTCTCACAAATATTACATCTAATTACAAAAAAATCTAATCATCTTTTCAAATACAAAAATTTTAATATACTAAAATAGTCAAAAACTAAAATAACCTATTAAAATAGCAACTTTCCAAATGCCCACAAGATATGAGGCATAGAAATTGATGAGGAATGGGAGTTTAAAAAATTAAAAATTAAAAATAAGAGATGGAAAAATGAAAAATAAAATATATAATTGAGATGGAGTTAGAAAAACCATGGGACAAGCAAATTCCCTTGACAACTCAAAAAATACGGATAGAGAGATAACATGGGGACAAATTGGCATTCCAATGGACCATCCTCCTCTTCCAGCACAATGTTTGTAGAGTCTTTAATTTGGAGAAGTTATTTGGTGGTCGTAAAATAACAGCAATGACTTAGATTATTAATTTTGATATTCTAATGAAACATTAATGACATGGCAATGAATAAAAAAAATAAAATAATAACAAACAAAAATATTTCATGCTCCCTTTTCCTCCTATCCCCTTTGACCCCCTCTCTCTCTCTCATTAGTTATATTTTCTTTCTTTTTTTTCTCTTTTTCCTGCTCCTCCAATCACCACCCGCCACATGTCTGTGGGGGTGGTGATTGGAGGGGGTCTCTATCATGACTCAATAACAAATTAAGACCAAAACATGAGCCCACTACCAACTCATTAGAGCTACCTTTAGAGTTCAAAAATTAGACCTCCAAAACATTTTTCATAAAATAATACACTTCTTTTACTAATAAGTTGGGACATTACGTAAGCTTGCCCAATACCATTGGTCCAACTCACACTTAAAAGTTGGGTTGGGTTGGGTTGGGTTGGCTTCTTTGACTGCGTTCTACAGTACAGTGGTCCAACTTACACTTCGAACTTTCATTACAATATCAGCCTAACACAGCCAAATCCATTGGTCCATGAGAAGTGAGGCGTGTGGATGTTTTTTTATGATTTTTTTTTTCTCCTTTAAAAGTTAAAAAATTAATGTGTTTAAAAAGGAAAAAGTTAATGAAACATTCTTCTCTAATTTTGTGTAGTATGAGAGATTTAAGACATATTTTTTTATTAGCTAAGGTCCCTCAATATTTTCACAGAAAAAATTCGGCTCAGAGAAATTTTGCCCCGACTCAGAGAAATTTTAATTTTTACAGAGAAAATTTTGAAGAGAAATTTTTAAAAAATTTCTATAAAAATTAAAATTTCTCTAAGTCAGAGCGAAATTTCTGAGTTAAATTTTCTCAGTGAAAATATTAAGGGATCTTAACTACTATAAAAATATTACATATTCTTTATCTTATAAAATCTTAATATCATGGACCTTAAAAAAAAATTCTTTTAAAAAATTGCTAAAATATTTACTTTTTTGTACGTAAAAAATTAATGTGACATTTGACTATTTTAACTAATAACAAACAACTTAGCTTTAAATATTTTTTAAAGTAAAGCACTAGTTGTTGGTTTTTTTTTTTTTTTAAGTTGTTCCCAAACAAAGAATTCAAATGCAAATGCAACTCCTTAATTTATTTTATTTATTTATTTTGATCTTCCAATAAATAGGATATTGATTTCAACGACTGTAAATCATAATATCACATGGATTCATGGTGGATGGGGTGTTCAGGATTGGAAAAATTACCCGTAGGCCCTGTTTGAAATATGTGTACACTGTTTATTCCAATAACTTTTTAAGTGGATCTAAAAGTCTTACACATTTCCCCTCTCTCTCTGTTTTCTCTCATTCTTTATGTTTTTCTCTCCCTTTTTCCTGCGTTTTTCTCTAATTCTCTTTGTCTTGTTCGACAACCGGTGATCACACATTTCTTATTCTCTTTCTTGCTCTAGTATATAGTCATCGATGATCGATGACCACCATTGATTGGAATTCATCGGCAACCATCAACCACTTACATCAACTCGTTACTTTATCCTTATCGACGGCGAACAAGATATATCAGATTTGAGTAGATCTACATGATATTCGACTAGATCTAAGCCAAAACTAGTTGCCAGAGTATAATATTCTTTCTATATCCATTATGTCCTTTGATTTCTCAATTTTTCTACATTTTCTCTGTTACACACGTCTATTTTTCTGTTTTAATGGAGAAAAATTTCAAGTTCTGAATAAGTTGTTTTTAAGTTTTAGTTGCAGGTAGTGAAAACTGTAAAATTAGCGAAGTGTTGGATGTGATTTCACGCTTAAGTCTAAATAATGTTGTTAATAAGATCTCAAATATATATATATATATATCAAATTTTTATACTAAATTTACTTAGTATAGGGCACACATTACGTGCAAAATTGTGAAGTTTCGATCGGAGTATAACACGAAATTTCTGAAAAAAATCACTGAAAAATTCAGAATTTTTGTACCCCCAAGAGTCGAACTCGACTCATGACTGTGAGAAGACAATATCACTAAAAAATTCAAAATTTTTGCACTCCCAAGAGTCAAACTCGACTCATGACTGTAAGAAGGCAATACCATCACCACTGCACTACCACTCACGGTGCATTGATATAATGCCATTTCAGTGATGGCAATGGAGTGAAACAGAATATTTGTGCCTAGCATGTTGTTTAGTACTGACTTGTAAGACATAAATGAACCCAATACATTTCACATCATTTTATTGTACAATGTCCTAGAAACGTAAAAAATGTCCTAGAAACTTAAAAGTCAATAACTTTAAATTAAAAGTTCAACTTTTTCTTGTTCAATTTTTCAATAATTATTTTTTTTTTCCCAATTTATTCATTTTGGCCTTATCAATAAGAATTAGGTTTTTCTCTCGTTCAAATTTAAATTTTTAAACCCGTTATAAGATTTATTCTAATAATTTAAATCGTTTATTTTTAAGTACTTATGTGCAAATCATTATTCAAAAATTATATTGATTTAATAAAGTTAGCCTTTCAATGTATTTGTTTTGAAAAATGGATTACACGTATAATTTTTAAAAATGTTGATTGTTAACTTATTAATCCTTATAGAGCCATAAAACATGTCTAGAATGCTTTGGAAACAGATGAGAATAAAAATGTGAATTAAATGCGATTTTTCAAAATATGTTGAAAATAGGGTCTTCGCTCGAGCGTCACTTTGGTCACTCGAGCGGACTGTAAAATTTGAAAAACTTCTGGAAGCTCGATTTTCACGCTTAAGCGAGACTTTCCTCGCTCAAGCGGACAGTGTAAATTCTGAAATTTTCAGAATTGTAATTGAAGTTCAGATTTGATATTCAAAGCCTCAAAACATGTATTTGTGGTACACAAATATGGAGAACCAATGTATAATTTAATAAACACTCTTAATTAGAAATTATTTATACAAAATCATGCTCCAATTGTCCAAATTTAGTTTTAACTCAATTCCTTCATATAAAGCCAAATTCCAAACCCAAAGTGATTAATCTCTAAATTAATCTCCATAAATTGAACATGGCTCCAATTCCTCATTTTCTTTAGTTACATAAAATTGACTTCAAGCTCTTTTTATTTTCCTTCAAAATATGAAATTAAAGTCACAAACTCCTTATAAAATTATTCACTTGTATGAAATTAACATTAAAATTACTAATTTTATATTCTTATACATTTTCCCAACTAATTTCCATAATCTTAAACTTAACTTAATTTGTAACCTCAACTTAATTCATAACCATAGGTGTTTCAAAATATGCTTAATTTAAATAAAATCTTAAATTACATTACATGCATGGATTAAAAATCTAATTATAAAATCAAAACTTTATCTAACATTAGGATTAATTCTGAATTTCCATAAACTTTATGTTCATAAAACATTTCCTTTTTCTCTTCAAAATATGAATTTAAATGGCTTAATTTCTTCAAAATCCATGATGCATGTAAATATAGATTTAAATACTCATAGAATTCCCTCATGCATGTAACAATGGAACTTAATTTCATATAAGATATGCAAAATCAAACCCAAAATAATTAATTTCTAAGTTAATTTCCATAATCATTAACCTAACTCATTTGCATGGGTCAAATCTTTAATAAACCCTTGTTGCATGTAATTTATAGAACTTAATTCAAGAATAATTCTCTAAATTGAACCCAAATTTAACAAATTAAAAAAATCATAACTCATGTTTTTCAACCTAACTTGATTTAACATACAAATCCAATTTCTATGAATTTATGATTAATCCTCAAATCTTTATTTTTAATCTTCTCAAAATACACATTGAATAAATTTTTGTCTAGATTAAGTAAACAACACTAGAAAGAGGATGAAATTTCTTACCTTAGAATGAATTTTTCATAATTTTTAGCTTAAGTTTTGATATCCCACGAGACTTTCTTCTTCCCTTTTCTTCCTCCCTCTTGGTCTCTCTCTCTCTCTCTCTCAGCCGTGCTCTGTTTTTTTTCCACCCACACGAGACTTGATGATGTACATATATATTTGTTGCCTTAGACTCAACACACCAACATTCCTTTGTAATATATATAATTTATTAAAGGTAAATTAATATATCATTCATATTTAATTTAAT